TTCCCGGGGGCGCTCTGCAGCCTCCGCGGCAGGACGGCCGGCGGAGACCCAGCTCCCCGGGACACCTGCCTCGCCTCCCCTTTCCGAGGCGCTCTATTCTAGAACTGCCGCGGTCATCCGAACGCAGGGTCGCGCCCTGGGGGACTCGGGGAGGGGGGCCGCGCCGAGCCCAGGAAGGCTCAACTGCAGGCGGGAGGAGGCAGGAAGGGCGGCCTCCGCGCGACTCGACACCCAGGCGGAGGCCCGGGCGCGTCTCTCCCGTTCCGACCGGGCGGCGCACGGGCCGGGCCGCGCCGGAGCCCACGGCCGGGAGGGCGGCGGCCACCGCCTCAGGGCACTCACCCGCGCTCCCGGCCCGCCCGCGCAGACCGCGCCCCGCCCGTGGGGACAGGCTGGGGGCCAGCAGGCGGCTCAGGAGGAACCCAAGCGCCGCCGCCGCACCGGCCCGCGGCCTCCGGAGCCGTCACCAGGCCGTCCCCGCCGCCGCGCGGCGTGATGACGTAACGCAGCCCGAGGCCCACCCCTTCCGTTCCGGTCTGCGTCACGTGAGGTCACGGCGTCACGTGACCCGTCTGCCCGGGCTTCCGGCTTGGTAATCTTCGGGAGAGCGGGCGAGAAGGGCGTGGGCGGGGCCTTCCTGCGAGCTCGGAGAGCGTCGCGGGCTGGGATGCTCCGGGCTCGTGAGACAGGCAGGTTGAAGGCATCTCAGAGAGCTCGGGGTCTAGGGGAGCTCGCTGCGGGGAGCCTGTGCTACCTGCCCGGTGTGCGGGAACCCTCTCGCATGTCGCAGCGCTTCAAGTTGCTTAGGTCCGTGTCCTCATTGCCCCTTCTCAGGCTGAACACCGTCGCGGTGGGAATCCCCCAGCCCTGCGCTCCACTCACCTCAGCCTTCTCTGCATCTCCTCGGGGACTGTCATTACCCCTGAGGTCCCTCTCTGCCTTTTGCGCTGGAGGACAAATAAGTGGAAAGAGCTCGTGGTCACTAGAAGTTGGATGTTGTGAGGGAAACTGCCAGGGATCTTCTTAGAAGTCCCGGGAGTCCTCATCTTTCTCTTCTGCTGACTTTGCCCCAGCTCCTGGGGGCTGAGCGTTTTTGCTTCTAATCGATTTTGGCGCACTTTTCTTAGTGGCTCAGAAGGGAACGAGGGTCCTTGGTTCAACTTAATGTGAGTGTCCCAGCTAATTGTGTTTGATTATACTGTTTTCTTCCCTGAGGCCCTTGATTCTTTAGCGATACTAAAACCATAGCCAAGTGGGCAGCAGTCTAATTTTACATAGTGTTTCCATCTTTCCTATCATGTCTCTCTGACCTAAAATTATCCCTGATTTATACGGGGGTGGGGGGGGATGGGATTGCAGGCTCGGTACAAGTTCTGTTGGGGGCGTTTTGGAAAAGTTCACCAAAATTATTGTTACAGGCTTTTAATTAATACCAGTCCTGATATCGGTTCCCCTACAGTGACCCCAGCATATGTGGGGTTAAAACCAGAAGCTCTCATCCCCTTCCCGTTTCTTTAGTTACACTCAAACGTAAATATCTGTTTCTTTAACCTTTGTCTCCCTGAGCTTTGTAACTAAACAGAAGTTACAAATTGTTAAAGCCCAGGTGGCCTCAGCTGGGCTCACACCAAAGTTTTGGCTAATCAGGGGTCCTTAAAGTTTATTACAGGAAAACAGATGTCCAGAGAATAGCAAGAAACTGAAGCTTCCTGGGCCCCAACTCCTTGGCTTCCTGGCACCAGAATCTGCCAATCCACCCTGGAGGCAGACAACCAAGGACACCCACCTGCAGATTCCCTTATCTCACCATCCCCCTCCCTAGGAGCAGCCTCACAAGGCCAAACACAGGCTGGTGGGAAAGGTTGACCAGCAAGGTCACAGGCTCCCACTCCCTACAAGCAGCAAACCTTTAAAACCCTTTACCCACTTCTTAATGGGGAGCCAGCAGTTCCTAAGGCGTTAGCCGGCCCGTGCCTGGCAAAGAAAAAAATAAAACTGTTTTTTTCCTTTTCACCCAAAACTCTGTTCTCGCTATTTGGGTTGGCACCAAGTTCAGAGAACAAACTTTCAGTAACATTGTAAATGCAGATATCCTTTAACTGAGTGATTTTTATGTTTATTCTTATATACTCCTACACATGTAAAATGATGTGTGTGCAAGGTCTAATTTGTAGATTAGATTGAAACAACCTTAATGTCCATCAGTAGGTGACTGGTTCAATAAAGTACATCTGTACAATCCAATACCATGATGTTGTGAACAGTGTGTATAGTTTGCCATTATTTGTATAAAAAGGTTGGGGAAATATAAGTATTCATATTTGCCTGTATATGTCTAAAATGCATTTGGAAAGATATGAAATCAAGTGGTAATATTGGTTTCTTCAAATAGAGAAACTGGTTGATTGGGAGACTGGGTGGGAGGATTTTCCCCCTCCATAACTTTTTGTGCCTTTTGAACAAACTTTTCATTATATGAATTAAAAATATGTACAATTCAAATAGCCCTAAAGGTCTAGTGGTTAAGATTCTGCACTCTCACCGCTGAGGCTAAAGTCAGGGAACCACAGCACCCATCTGTCAGTTGTCATTCTGTGGCAGCTGCATGTTACTGTGATGCTGAAAGCTATGCTACCAGTATTTCAAATACCAGCAGGGTTACCCATGGTGGACAGGTTTCAGCAGAGCTTGCAGACTAGGACAGACCAAGAAGAAGGACCTGGCCACCTGCTTTTGAAAAAATTGGCCATGAAAACCATGAATAGCAGCAGAGCATTGTCTGATATGGCACTGCAAGATGAGAGGATGGCACAAAAAGATCCGGCAGGGATCCGCTCTGCTGTGCAAAAGGTCGCTAGGAGCCAGAATCGACTCGATGGTACTAACAAGCAATTTAAATAAAAAGTAAAAATAAGCCCTTGTTTTGTGGATGCAAAATAGCACTTTAATGATATTGCCTAATTCCTGGCTGCTAAATTGGGAATTTTTCCAAACGTGAGAGGGAACTTAATCAAAGAGGCTTTGTTTAGATTATGCCCACCCTTTTTCCAGAGACAAAAAGAGAGGGAAACTGCTAATAAGCAAGCCAACACTGAGGGAACTAGTTCAGGCTAGTTCATGGTGCAGTCCTGGCATGTTTTGGGTCTTTAAGTCATGGGTACACTATCCTTGCCATACAAGAATATTTCCAGTCATTTGGAAATACCCTAAAGCCCAAGCCCAAACTTGCTCTGAGTTTCTTAGGTCCATTCTGGAGGGCTGGGTTCTGGTTAAGGTGAGTCGGTCAGTTTCCATACATAATCCTGCTTTGATGGTTTGGACCTGGGGTGATTCTGAGTGTTTATATCTCCTCAAGGGTTTCAGTAAAGGAAAACAGAACTTGCCTTGGAACGCTAGATCATGTACATAGAGTATAGGTCAAATCTCTAAACCAGCTAGGCAGAATACATTGTGTTTTTGCACCACCTGAGTGTGGCAGACATGACAATGCACCTCTTAATTACTCATTTAACGTAATCAAAGCAGGGCCCCAGCTGCTGCTTTGAAATTCGTCACTGAGGTGCCAGCCCGGTGGGACAGCGGTTAAGTTCCCACATTCCGCTTCTCGGTGGCCCAGGGTTCGCCGGTTCCAATCCCGGGTGCGGACATGGCACCGCTTGGCAAAAGCCATGCTGTGGTAGGCGTCCCACGTATAAAGTAGAGAAAGAAGGGCATGGATGTTAGCTCAGGGCCAGTCTTCCTCAGCAAAAAGAGGAGGATTGGCAGTAGTTAGCTCAGGGCTAATCTTCCTTTAAAAAAGGAAATTTGTCACTGAATTTGCACTCGGGCCCAGATCATGCCTCCTAAGAGCTGGTTCTTGCCCCAACTGGGCATAGCAGATACTGAGGTGGACCTTTTCCCAGGAAGATGGCCCTGAGCTAACATCTGTTGCCCATCTTTTTTGTCCCCCCTCCCCAAGCCCCCACAGTACACAGTTGGATATCTAAGTGTAGGTCATTCTAGTTCCTCTATGTGGGATGCTGCCACCCCGATGAGCCCTGCCTAAGTCTGCACCCAGGATCTGAAGCAGCGAACCCTGGGATGCTGAAGCGTAGTGTGCCAACTTAATCACCTGGCCATGGGGCCAGCCCCCAGAATCAGCATTCTTTTAAATGAAGTAACCTATGATAGATAGCAGTTGCATCTCATATTGTGAAGTGTTGTTTCACGAAACATTTGGATGTTGTAATGTGTATATACCCTAAGCTTATCCACACAAAGTGGTCCTGCCAATGTACAGCTCCACCAGCAGCATCTGGTCTGCTCCATAGCCATACCCACACTCAGAATCTGAGGATTTTTATGTTGTATCAGTCTGGTAGCAGTAAAATGGTTTATCACTTTGGTTTTAACTTACATTTCCCTGATTACCATGGGAAGTCGAGAAACTTCACTTGTTGGCCTGGTTTGATTATTTTTTAAAAGAATTATTTGTTCTCTCAGTTGTACAAACTTGACCCTCAAAGTAAACTCAACTTCTAACTCAAGATTTCCATCTCACTGCCTACATTAGCTTGGAAGTGCTCACTGCGGACCTTACACTATCCCATGAACAGAACTCACGTCAACTCGAGGACAACTCGCAAAGGCACAGAAAGCTCCCGAATAAGCTCGTGCAACAACCTTAAGCAAGGCGGTTTTAAAAGCACTAAACTCCAAAGTAATAGGTAGTACACCTTTGATATTCACAAAGGCTATATCACAACACCTCTGAGAATCTTTTACTTATTCAACACTACTATAGCACACTAATTTCTCTAGTAAATGTCTGTGCAATAAGCAGAGAAAAATAAAGCTGTATTGAGGAGCATGTGTCAGGAATTCAATCAGGTTCATTCACTGGTTTGCATATGCCAGTCTGTCAATACCTTTGATTCAAATTTGTGCCTCAGCAGAATCTGACATTACTTTCCTAGTGTTAATCCTTTGGAGTTATGTGCAAATAGTTGAGACCACACGTGTTAAATTTCTGAATGCCAAGTGTCTTCTGTACTTTCCTTTATTATCATCATAGTCTTTGCGTCAAGATACATAGCAATGATAGCAGGTTTCTTTTTAAAGCTTAGTATTAAATATTAAATATCTTTCCCCATTTTAATTTTACATTACTCTGCCAAGAAAAAAAAAATTAAAACTTAAGTTATTTGAAGCCTGGACACATTTCCATGATTAGCCGGGCTATGTAAAAGTTGGGGGCTTTCTTCTTCCTGCTGTGTAAGCAGATCCAGGCCCCAGAAAGATGGGACCAGGTTATAATTGTTTTGAAAAGTGTGCTACAAAAATGGAAGGCCTGTTATAAGCCAGGTTACAAAGTAAGGACAGGGGTAAGGGAGGGACGTTTTCTTCCAGAAACAGAATTTCTGAAGAGTCCCAGTCCATCATTTTTCCCCAAAATGGTTGGAGGGGTAAAAATCTCAACATGAGCTTCAAAGTACTGTCTCTGGAGGGGGACGGAGTTACCTCGCCGAGGAGGGGGACGGTGGAGTTTGACCATCCCCACCTTTCTCAGCTAGGGAAATGGAAAGTTTATTGCCCAGTGGATGTGAACGTGGGCTGAAGCTTGGTTGGTACTGAATTCTCTAAGAGGTTTCTTCTAGAAACAGACAACTCAGACTCTTCCTCTCACTTCAGCAAAGAAGTGATTTTTAAAAGCACTTGGGAAGTCCCTCCTCCAGCTTGCAGGTGAGGGGCTCAGAGAAGGGAGTCATCAGTACAGCCGCCTTCAAGGCCGTACCGGAACTCCTGAAGGTTGGAGACCCCGTAGAAGTGGACAAAGGCTGCTGCCACCACCAGGACATGGAAAATCTGATGAGACTGGAACTGCAGAAATGACAAGAGAAGAGCCTTCAGGATCATGCAAGGAGGGATGAGAAACAAGCAGGAGAAAGCATTTTCCTGTTCTAGTTTCTCCTCAAAAAAATTTTTTTTAAATCATAAAAGTGCTGTATTTGTTGCAGAAAATTAAAAAGTCCCGTCAGAGATACACTAAAATGTTAATATTGGTTACTTCCCCACCATGTCTCCCTATGTACACATATATACCCCTCAAATGCTGCAGGATCCTCATGCCTCTTACTGCCTCTCACGCAGACCTTTAACTTTAGGCTGGTCATTCACCACCAGAGACCCTGCTGGAAGAGTCATTTCTTACCCATATGTCAAATTTTCCAGGAAAGAAGCGCTCAGGAATTCGAGCAGCATAGAGGCCAGCTCCCGTGATGTACATCACAGCCATGAGGAAGAACCAGCCCATCTGGCCCACTGTGGTGGCCTTGACAAAGCCCTCAGCGATTGTAAAGTGCATGGTGGGCACAACACCGCTCAAGCCGAGTCCCAGGAACACTCCTGAACAAAGCAGATGTAAGACTGTCAAGCAGGGGAACACTCACTCCATGAAGGCACTGCTGACTTACTCTGGAATCCAGATATTGAGGATCATTAGCGATTTTCTGCTGAACAGTACACATTCAGCAAATGTAGCAACAAGATGGGTAACAGGCAGCAGATGTTTCTTCAACATCCAGAATGAGAAGGCTGTGCAAGTGCCAATATAGCTGTTACCTTTTAAGGAGCACCAAGAACAAACACCTCACATTCTTTATTATCTGCTAAGAAGCCTAGGAAAAATGATGTCAGAACTCTCTAATGGTTGATTTGGGCACAGAACCTGGATGGCAAGGCCTCAGGGGGCCTGCAAGCCAGAGAAGTAGGACAGGTTTCCATGAAGCTGAGAAAAGACTTAAGTAATCAGGACTCTGACTTCCCGAGTAGACAGATACACCAGATCAGACGCTGTCCGTGGCTGCTGGGACACACAGAGAAAGTGAGAGGAAGGCAGGAGTGAGCACTTGCTCACCACCACCACACTATACGTAACTGGAGGGCAGGGACCACCTTCTCCTTTTTTCTCCCCCCTGCAGGAAGATTAGCCCTGGGCCAACATCTGCCACCAATCCTCCTCTTTTTGCTGAGGAAGACTGGCCCTGAGCTAAGATCCATGCCCACCTTCCTCTACTTTATATGTGGGATGCCTGCCACAGCATGGCTTGACAAGCAGTGCATAGGTCCACACCCAGGATCCGAACTGAACCCGCAAGCCACAGCCACTGAAGCAGAGTTCCCAAACTTAACCTCTGCGCCACCAGGTAGGCCCCCCACTTTCTCCATTTTTGTAGATATGCTTGTGAACGCACAATGCTTGGCACATGGTTGGTACTTAATGAATATTTAGTTTTTTTAACTGAACACTAAAACACAGAAGATATTAAGAAGTCTAAAGGGGGGGCTGGCCCCGTGGCCAAGTGGTTAAGTTCGCGCGCTCCGCTGCAGGCGGCCCAGTGTTTCATTGGTTCGAATCCTGGGCGTGGACATGGCACTGCTCATCAAATCACGCTGAGGGGGCGTCCCACATGCCACAACTAGAAGGACCCACAGCGAAGAATATACAACTATGTACTGGGGGGCTTTGGGGAGAAAGAGGAAAAAATAAAATCTTTAAAAAAAAAAAAGAAGTCTAAAGGGACTGAAGATTAGTGGTAATTGGTGTGTAGCTCCAAGTAATAAAGCTTAAAATGAGAGTCCAGATGAGACAATACAAAGATGATTATGCTTATAGCTATTAGGTTATAGTCATGCATCACTTAATGACGGGGACACATTCTGAGAAATGCATCATTAGGCGATTTTGTCATTGTGTGAAAATCAGAGAGTGTACTTACACAGACCTAGATGATACAGTCCACACACAGCTAGGCTCTATGGTACTAATCTTATGGGACCACCATCATATGTGCAGTTTGTTGATGACTGGAATGTCGTTATGTGGCATGTGACTGTACTATGAAACTTCGGGGAGAATTAACCTTTGAAAATTCATGCTGTTTTCAAAGTTCTGAACACAAATCAGGGTTTGGACAGGGTCCCCAAACTGCACACCTCAGGGCCCAGAGTGGAGCCTATTAGGCTAAGGTCCAAACACCCAGGAGGCTTCCACTGTGTCTTCCTGCCCACCTGCTCTTGTCTGCCGGTGCTTAGGAGTGGCAAACCGGTCCCACTGTGCCACGATGATGGCGGAAATGCCCAGGACACAGACGATGGAGAGGTAGATGAGCCGTGGCTGTGGGGAGCAGTAGAAGGAGTAATAGAGCCAGGGGACAAAGCTCCCCATGATCAGTAGAGCAATCCCTGAATAATCCAGTCTGAAAAAGAGCCACAAAAACAAAATCAATCAGTGGCAGAAATGAAGAATTCCTACAGCTCGTTTAACTGTTTTTTTCTGTTCTCTACCCGCTCGCAGACTTGACTACCCCCAGTTTCCCCTCACTTCCCACACAATCCACCCTATATCCTGGGTCAAAACTCCACAAGGTCAAGCACTTCTATTTTGCAGTGGAAAAGGTTCTACAGATCCTTGATCACAGAACTATATGCCTTTCTCTAGCTGTGAACACTCTATCTCCTCGTGTATACTTAAATTCAGGAGTTCTATCACAGTCCAGCTGGTTCCCAGCTTAGTACTGAGGAAGGGCTCTGAATATCTCTTGTTCTGATAGGTTGCATTCTAAAAACAAAACTCTTAAATTGGGAGTATTATTAAGGGGTACTGTTCTGTTCTGGTTGACTTTTTAATGAAAAAAATGTATTCTTGTTAGTGGTATTACTGGGAAAAACAAAGTACACACCACTCCCACCAAAACCAAGCAAACAAACAAAGAGAACTCCAGGCTCAGAGTTGGGGAGTACGGAACACACTAGATAGTGGACACCCGGGGCTTCCAGCAATGCATGGGCAGCAAAGATAAGCTTTGCTGGATGGGTGGGTAGGACCCCTGGCAGAACAAGGCACAGAATACTTCGCCACACCTTCCTTTGGCTCGGGCGATAGCCAGCTAAGACAGTACTGGGTACTTGGTCGTGGAGAGCAGCCACTAGCACCCCAAGGCTCACAAAGGATAGCACTGCACAGGGAGAAAATATATTCTACAACTGGGTTCCATCTCTTGAGGCTGCCATGAAGGATTTAAGAGAAAAGCTTCATCACCCTATTATACCCACAAAACAGAAAGCCCTTCCTCTGGCACATCAGGGAATCTTTAGGAGTCACTGGAGTTTCCAGGACCCAGTCAGCACTCAGACCACAGGATGTGACAACAGGGCGTGGTCTTTCCCTACTGACATTCTTTCCACTCACTTGGAAAAAGTCCGAGAGACTTTCTCTGAATGGCAATAGACGGTGTGAAAGAGCCAGGAGAAGCTGAGGCAGAGCACCGCGCCCAGAAAGAACATCCCGAAAACCACCTTCTCCTGCAGAGGGGCCATGAAGTACATGTTTGGTCTGAGCATGGTCAAGATTCCCAAAAAGAGAAACAGCACAAAACCTACAGGAAGGGAAAAAAAAACAACCCTGAGGAAAAAGGGAACATGTGCACTCTGACAGTTCACGGTGTTCAGTCAGTACTAAAATTACAGGGTTTAGCTGTGCAAACTGCAGTTTAAATTTAAACTTCAGGAGAAAACGGGACCCATCATATAAACCCAAACAAGAAGATCATTTTCTGAAACGCTGGGATATTGTTTTGACAATGGGAACTTATGAAGAAGAAGGAAGTGCCTCCCCCCGGGACAGATGTGATCACAAGAGAACACCTAGTTCCAATTTCTTCTCCTGTTTCTAGGCCTTCTTCCTCCAGTCTTAAAGACCAGTGATCAAGAGTCAACCTAGCTCACTGGTAGTTTAAAGGCACACTGCCAGCTATCCATCAGTCAGAACGACTCTGTTCTTCCTTCCCATGGACAAAGGCTATATAATCTCTTGGCATTTAAGGAGACAAAAATTGGATTTTTCCCTATCCAAATCACTCACCAAGTAGATGGGTCCAGATGTTGCCAGTCTCCGTGTGGATGCGGAAGATGCTCTTGAAGCAGGCCCGAAAGGAGGGCATGGGGGGTCTGTGGCCATGCAGCAGATAGTCATTGTCCTTCAGCCAGTCGGGGAGCACATCATACGGGATGACCCTCCAACGTCCCTCCCACACCTAGAATACACACACTCTCTCTAAGCAGGACCCTCGAGAATACTGAGTTCCCCAAGGCCAAGGGCTGAAGGAAAGCTCGGCTAGGAGGACTCAGTCAGGCTTTGGGTGGTCCTGGGTAACATCAGAGAACCAGCCTGGACCTGGAGCTATCCAAGACACAGCATAAATGAGGCCATTCTGGGACGGACCATTTTTTTAATGCTTTTGTTCTTTGGTCATGTTAGTCTATCTAGATATGCTTTAGATAAGTGTTTCTCAACCTTTAAAAAAAATACAGTAGGACCTCCTTTAAGCTACTCAAAATTTCAAAATTAAGTAAATATAGTGACTGAAAACAAAGAAGTAGAAATTACACATATGGTTTTAAAAATATACATTTTATCTCTCCTTTGCCCCTCTCCTCCAGGAAATACTGGTTGCCCCCTGCTCTATCCTTTCCCGGATTAGATTCCAAGTTCTCACTAGGTTGAGATTATGACTTTTTGGAGCAGGGCTTCTTAGCCAAGGACACATGGACAATAGACAGAATCCAGAGAATGGACGGAAATCTGGATGGAAAAAAGTTATCTTTATTTTCATTCACCTCAAACTAAAATTTAACATTTCCTTCAATTATAAGTGTGAGCAACAAAGCATAGCAGTAATAGAACTTGTGAATCTGTCACCAACAGAAATCACAGATATTTTCACACATCAGTTTTGCAGATATCAAAATATTGTTTCTACTCATCACTACTTAGAAATTATAAATTTTAATAAAACGTTATAGCTTGTCACTAGTGCATATTTAATGTTAATAAAAGAGCACATATTACTACATCACATTGTAATATTTTGATGACTGCCAAAGGGATTCACAGCAAAAACACTATACTGTTTTAGAATGCGTTTTGAGCAACGCCTAACACGTAGGCAATGAAAATTTAGCCATCCTTCCCCTTGACTTACTCCACCTTAAGCAAAAACAAATGCATTACACGGAGTAAAAGCTCTTCAGTCCAACGCATGCTTGCCAGCTGGGAACGCCCCAGTAAGCCTCTCCCCTTCCCCTCCAGGACAGCAGCTGTTAGGCTGTACCTTATATACAAACTCCTCCATCTTCTCCATGGCATGGTGGGCTTGCAGAGGGAGTGTCAGCACCCGCACCTCCTCCTCCTCTTCCTGGGGCACTGGGCATGCTTGCTCTTCTTCAGCCTATATGGGGAAAAAACCAACAAAAGCCAATCCTAGGAGTCATCTTGTAAACTGTTCTATTCCAGATCAGAAAGATTCAGAGAAACCCAAACTCAACTTTTTCTACCCAGCCTCTCTCCCACACATAGGGCCCTGTCTCCAAAAGCATGACAGTTAAGGAGTTTACAACACTGTAGTTCAAGATTTATTAATACTTTGTGAAGGGTGGAGTGAAAGCTCAATTCAGCATGCAGGAGACAGACATGGAGACTGGCATCAGAGGGACACAGGACTGGCACACCAATCCTAAATGTTCTCTAAATCTTCATGGCCCATCCTTATCTCTAGGACAGTGGTCCTCAACTTTCCCCAATTTCCCAAATATTTCTCTCCTCCAGACCACTAAACTTTCAAAACAATGAAAAAGTCTCAGAGACTGCTTTAACAGTTTAAATCTCTTCATAGTTCTCTGTTCCCTGACTCTGGGGATGCTATCATGACGCAAACTTTGTATACGCAGCAGCTCCCAGGAGTACCAGGGCCTCAGGACTAGTTCCACAGAAAGCAGCAGCACTGACTCCTGTACCCAAAGGAGTCTCAACACAGAGAGTGCACACCGGAGAGCACTTGCCTACCAAGGAGAGAAACTTTTCTCTCTGTCCCAAGGCTCCAAACCATGGAGATGGAGAGCCTGGCAGTTCAACTCCTTCTCTGGGCTACTCGCTCTCCTGCTGATGGTCCCTGGTAAACAAATGGTCCCGCTTAGATTTTGTGATACAGATTCCTGCTGGCCAACCCCAATATCCATTCTCTCTCTTTCTCAGTAAGAGCATTCTTGGTTCTTTTCAGGGTGGCAAAGTTATTGTAATTTTACTCAGCCCCACTGAAAAGACTACCTTGTCTAGTCTCCACTGCAGCTGCATATAACTACATAACTAAGTTCTGGCCTATGGGATATAAATGGCAGCATTGCAAGGTACTTCCAGAAAAGGCAGGCCCTTCTCCCTTCTGCTCCCTCCCTTGTGGTGGCTAGTACCTGGGCGGGATGGGTAACATATTAAGAATGATGGAGGAGATAGACAGGTGAGCCTCTATATCAGCCTTGGTTACTTCCAGAATTTTTTATGTGAGAAAGACTTCTATCTGGTCAAAACTATAGGGATTTTCGTTTGTTAAATGAAGCCAAACCTAATCCTAAATGACTACTTCCCTCATTCAATCAGACATTTACTAACCACTTACTGGATTTCAGGTCTTGTGCTAAGCACTGGGGTTACAAAGATAGTGAACTCACAAAAGCTTACAGCGGGCAAACCAGACAAATCAAAAGATACTTAGAACACAGTATGGTAAGGATTGGGACAGAGACATTCCCAGGGTGCTACAGTTCCTCCCTTGGGGTGGGAGTTGGGGTCTTAAAAAACGGAGACCGACAGAGATCTGAGGAGAGATGACGGCCCAGGGAAGGACTCCTGGAAGACAACTTACTTTGGTTGGGTTGGCGATTACCCGTGTGCCCTTCTCTTCTAGCAAGGGTCCCAGTTCAGCCAGCTCCAGCGTGTCCGTTTCCCTGTTACTGGCAGGAGCCCCATTGCCCTGCGCCACCACAGATCCTTTGTGAGAAGACATCTGGCTGGTACCTCAAAACCCTGCAGCTTCAGCTTGGGGAAAGGTTGGAGTCTCTCAGCCCCAGGGGGCAGAGATCTCCCTGTGATGGTCGACGCTAAAAGCAAACACAAACATGACGAGTGTTGACAGTTTATTCCTCTCATAGTTTCATTTCTACAAGCCAATACTGAATAAGACACAGCTAATCAACTCACACCGTCTCTAACTCTAAAGGCCAATTAATTGTTAAAACAAAATCTATTCCTCGATCTCCCTCCTTAATATCACTCTTTGCTCAGAACCTCACCAATCTCACAGTTAAGGCTGAAAACATAACACCTGGTTGCTTGCCTTCAAAGGATCTGTGGTTATCGTACCAAACTGTCGCCAGTGACAAACAGCTACCCACCCTCACCTCCCTCCCACAGGCATGGAGTCTGTTTAGTGAGAAGAATCTGGCCTACCACTCCCAAAGTTATTCTGCCCAAGGAAGGCCTGGCTTTGAGACTGTGGAGCAATAACATGAAGTCAACACCTGGCTGAAATTACTACAAGACCACCCAGGCTTAGAAATGAATTAAACGCCAACCAAACTAAGCTGGGCTTTGTCTACAAATGCTCTGACAAGTGTGCCCTGAATGCAAAAGACACTTGGTTGTGGACTAGATGTCCAGTGGTTAATTTCTCCGCAAGGTCACTAATTCTATTACAGGATTATAGCCTGGGTTCAACACTTGGATAACAAGCTTTCCTCACAATCTCCTTAAAGCAAGCAATAACTTACCTGGAAGCAGGAAGCTGAAGACAGGCAGGCACACACACATACCAAACAACCACATACCTTTGCCACACACATACCAAACAACCGGCTCAGCAAGAGCTTGTTCCAACCACCACAGCTCATAACCCAAGCTCCACTCAAATTAGCTTTTCAGAAACTAGAGACAGGCACCACATCCTTTAGGAAAACCAGAAAAACCCAGAACTCAGTTTTCTAGGAAAAATCTCAAACATTTCAGGGTTTCCCGAGATTGACTTTAGCAGGAGTCTTTAACTAGGCCTCAGGGAGATGAAAAGAGGGGGAAAGTGCTCAAAGATTTCTAATATCTTATAAATTACTAGTGTTTTTCCCCCAGAAACAAAGCAGTTTATTACTCATAGCAGTAAGATAAGCCAGAATATTAACATTTTCCTGCACTAGTTACCTCAGCCCGACAACCAGTGGGCAATGCAAAGAGGACCAGATAACACCTGCACAAGGCGCGGGTTCCACATAAGAGAGGACAAAGAATTGGGGAACCCAAATCTTTTTTTTTTGAGGAAGATTAGCCCTGAGCTAACTACTGCCAATCCTCCTTTTTGCTGAGGAAGACTGGCCCTGAGCTAACATCCATGCCCATCTTCCTCTATTTTATCTGTGGGATGCCTATCACAGCATGGCTTTTGCCAAGCGGTGCCATGGCCACACCCAGGATGGGAAGCAGTGAACCCCTGGCCGCTGAGAAGCGGAACGTGCAAAATTAACCACTGCGCCACAGGGCTGGCCCCACCAAATCTTTGACAATGGGCAGTAAGCTCAGCACGACTCTGTGCCCAAGGAGACATTATAGCTATATTCCATGGCGGGTGACTATACAAACGTCTTTGACATGTTGTACAGTTCCTTTTTTACCCAACAGTAACCACAAGTCCCTCTCAGGGATTAAAACTGGCTGTATGCAGCCAGGTGAGGGCAATCCTCAAGTCTCAAAACAGTCATGCTGGGCTCAGCTCACAAGCACAGCTGAATGCAATGGCAAACCTGGGTGCAGAGAGCAAACAGTAGCTCCCTGAACAGCAGGCCTCTCTATGGTGAAACACAGACGGCTCCTCTTCCTTCAGACGGACGACTGACAAGACAGATGCCAGCCCACAGTCACAGCCAACTACTGAGCCCAAGGAGAACAGGAAACTGGAGGCCCCTGCAAACCTCAGGAGACAGGCAACCCACATGAGAAGGAACATTGGGAAATCTGTTTCAACAGACTGACCACAAAACATATTACATCAAAGTGAAGTACTACCGAATAAACAGCTTTACTAAGAAATAATGTATACTACAGCAAAAAACATAACTAGCTTTGGGCATCTTGGAGAAGTCTGAAAAGGGGAACACATTTAGCTTAGAATACTGCTGCCACTACTTTAGAGGCAGGCCACGGTGGGCAGTGGGGTGCTGTTGTTCTCAGGTTCTGGATACAATACTACGCGGATCACAAATTGATATGTATGAGTTTGGTCAGCCTGTATTTCAAAATGAATGAATGAATGGGGCAGCATTCCAGCCAGCAAGCATATGACTTATTAGCTTCCCGTCACTGCCTAAAGGTTTATGGCCTCTTTCTTGTGATTGTGGGGCTTCCTCCTCCTCCTTCCCCCAGAGTAAGCCAACACAATCACCAATTATTTAACAAAGGTATTTAGCACTAGGGCCCTAAGGCATTCTAAGGTACTGTGCAAAATACTAAGTTGAACAAGTTAAATCATTGTTTTCAAAGAGCCTACAATCAGACGGCATGAGGTAATCTGTGATATGTGTAAAACCAGTGATAGAATGTCACTCTCCAGGAGAACGGTGGAGAGAGAGAACCCCTAAACTACAGGCCACATACTAAGTTCTGTTATTTTGAATGCTGTGTAACTATTATACTGGAGGCAATGGGAATAATATAAACAAAGTTTAATTTGGGCAATTAGGGTCAGAGATCAGATGCAGAATCTAGCTTGGTATTCCTACTAATTTCCTCATTTGATCTGAAAATTTTTATGCCCTCAAGTACAGTGTTCTCTTAGGATGACCTCAGTCTCTTGGCCATCAGCAAAGTCTTCTCCCCTTCAGTCCAAACCACTTCCTATTAATTCTTTGGATTCCCTCCAGCTCCTCTATCTCTAGCTCCCACACCTCCCCTCAGCATTGTCTTCTAGACCCAAAGTCACTAAGCCTAACAGACACCCCACTTAACTCACAAACTAGCCATCAGCTACAATTAATCGTACAGGACATGTCATCATGAATTAACGTACATGCAATGGAGGTCAATGGAGATCATGTCATCGTAATGAGCAAGGTCCATTGTCCAGTTTGGTCTTTTAAACACAGAGGCAGCAAAGGGAGAGAAAGGGATGAGAGGTCTGGCAAAAAAGAAGAGCAAATAATACCAGGACCTGAAAATCTAACTTCCGATAGGGTGGACCACTCAAAAACAACTGGGAATTATTACAAGCAAGTGTTTTAGTCTCCATCATACAAAATCAGCAAAACCCCTAAGGTCTTATGACTGATTCTAGGAGCACTCAGGAGAGCAGGATACACTTTAACTTTCTACCAGCTTTGTGCATCCTCATGTATTTGAGGAAACACATTTCCTGTCAAACTCGCCACACCCAATATGGCATACTATAATTGGGCCAAACTCTGCTGACTGCATTTTTGACGGGATTTCTTCAATTCAAGCTAATAAATCTTTACCACTAAGCTTTCCAACTGGAAAAACCTATGATATTAGAGAATAATACAGTGGAGGCAGGGAGGTGTTTGTGTTCCCATAAATAAGATAATCCTGTGCCAAACCTGGGAGGACTGATTCTTAATCACCAGCCAGTTAGCTGGAGAGTTTATTTCCCTTACAGTTTTTTGAGACATTTATTCTGTGATCCAGTTCCCGAGTTTTCCAGGCTACCGCACACTCCTTCCCTGGAGTCAAAGGCACATGGCTTCTTCGAGGAGTTTTTAATCTCTGGTCCCGTCCTCTTAGAGATCCCAAGGGTAGGCGCTATCAAGGCCTACCAGACCATCATTGTTCGAAAGCCGGTTGGTCTGGCAGTAAAGACAACACAGCCATCTTCTCTATGTGCTCTCTCTTTTAGGGAAGGTGGTTTCACAGCACTGAGGGGAAAAACGAGTTGAGGCAATGAACTATGTGTGAAAATTACTAAACTGCACTAATGGGGCCTAAGCTTTCCAACTTGATGCCAAGTGTCACTGACTTAGGAGTCTCAAGTGGAAAATCACAATCTAATTTCCTTTGTAGCTCTTCTCCAGTTAAAGTTATCCCAATAGAAGAGGTCTTTTTGATCCCCAACAGACAGGTAATCTTTTCAAATGCCATATTAATTTCAACAACAAAAAGTAAAGTATACAGGCACACGAAGGAGTTTCATGCCAGGCCCTGTTTTTAATACCTGGCTTTCAGTCCATTTCAGATATATGGTCAACATGGTTACACACTATAGTGATCACTTTGTACTGTGCACCTCAGAAGCCCCAACGAGACAAGAGCAAACTAGGTGGAGGTGCACGCCTAAACGCCAATCACTTGGAACTGGTTGGGCTAGAGGGCACTTTCAAAGATCTTTTCAATCCAAGACAGCTACAAACTTCATAAACATTAATCAAGCCCCTAGCATTTCTGAGCAGGAAGAGGGAAACAACTCTAAGCATAATGAGAGGAACAAAGTCCAGTGGGCAATGGTAGGGACAAATGGACACTGAGGACAAAATGTAACTACTTTGATAAGTGGCAGGACCAGAAAAAATAACTAATAAAGCTTCTAGATTTAAAGATGACTGTTTAGTTCACCAGTGTGACCACAAGTAGATGGGACAGCTTAACACAGCAAGAGTGTTATAGAGTTTCAGTTTAGCTTATATGCTAGGGGTCAGGGGAAATTTCCTAGGGAAACAGAGAACAAGCTTACTGGCACTGAAAGAAGTACAAACTCTATCCTGTATACATCTCAGAATACCTATTGATTATTTACAATACGCATAGCACTGTGGCTACAGAGACAAGGAATAGACAGGAGTTAAGAGGCTTGACATGGTTGCTGGTCTTTACTTCAAGAGGGAGCAAAAACTTTTGTTTTCTACTAACATCACTACAAGGCAATACCACTAAGTGCTGAAGGAATTCAGAAGAAGAGGTCAATTTGAGTTGGAATGATCAGGAAAGGTTTTGTGGAAGATTTTAAGAAAGGATCTTGATAAGTAAAGATGGGAGCAGGGCATTCCAGGAGGGTACGCGGTATGAACCAAGGCAGACTTGAAGGAACATAACCCCTAGGGTAGTGAATAATCCATTTTTCCATAAATGAGTCTTGGAAAGGTAAAATGAGGTCAGACTGAAGAAACTGAAGATAGCCTAAAAGCCTACTTAAGGTAGTATACTTTACCCACTGGCAATGGGGAGCCTAGTGGATTAATGTTGCCTCCTGATATTTGTCGAGATTCTTTCCTATTTGCAGGCAAAGTGGTCGGTTAAATTTTTTTTTTTTTTTTATCATTTGGGAATTATGTATTTCCTTGGCCACTGAGAAGAGAATGATTTCAGATTCTACTCTGCAATTAGGTATGGTTTTTGGAGGTCTACCCTAAGATGGACCTTCGCAGTTTTTAAGAGGGATTCCCCAAGTACGACCACTATATGGGAACACAGAAGTTACTCCTGGAATAAGGAAATTTAGCAGCTGCAAGCTGGGACGGGCTACCCTGGCATTACCATTTGTTTAGCACCACCCAGTCTAAACTCCCAGTACTTACAGATACTATAAGAACATCAGGAATGGCATTGCACGGTAACAGGTGACCCAACTCCTACCGAGAGAAAAGCGGTGAACAGATCCCACTACTACTTCATTTCAGAAAAGAACAGCCATTACAATGTTTACTTGATTTAAATCTTCTAAATACTTGAGGGAAATACTGTGGTTAATCTAGTAAAGTACTATGGAGGTCTCCTAATGCTCCTTTTACCCCTGAAACTGTGTACACTGAAACTCGCCTCCTCAGTTTCCCATTTGCCTACAAAGCACCAGAAACTGAAGGAAAGTACATATCTACATTATTTTCTTAAAAAGCGAAGGCTCGAGGACCAAAAATCTCGAACATAAGATGGCAAACATAAACACGAGATTTCCAAGGGAATGAAGTTTCGTTTTCCCCCCAAAGCAGTTTAGATTCTGTTCACATTTCAGCTTTTAGAACGACCTAAAATAAAAAGTAAACTGTCCACCAACCTCCCCTTCTCCCCCATCAAGGTAGGGGCACTGTCACGGTTAGATCTGCCAAAGATTGTTGGTCTGTCAAAGACTTAGGGCTTCCCAGGCCACCAAAGGCGGCGTTTCCCGCTGAGGCGGTTCTGCGACCCGGGCACACACCCCGACTCCCCATTTGCCTCGCGCGGCGGCCCTGGGACCAGGCTGAGCTCCGGCCTGGCCCGTCCCGAGGCGGAGCCTGAATCTACACGTCTCAGCCCCAGCGGGCTGGGAAGACACAGCACTCACCAGGACTGCTGGCCGTCGGGGCAAGCCGGGGCACGAGCGGCCCACCCGCTCCGAAATTGCTTTGGAGGCCGCCCTGGAGGCGGCACGCAGTGGGAAGGGCCGGAAATGTTTACAAGCCCGCCCGCGGAGAGGCCCGGAGGCCCGGCCGGCGTCGGGGCGGGGGTCTCGGGACCCTCGGGGCGCCCGGGTGGCTTGGCCCACAGGCTGACCCCGCCTCAGGCCTGGGGCGAGGCTCCCGGGGCCCCCGCGCTCCGGCCGAACCCTGCCCACCCGCTCGCCACGGCAGCCCGGGGACACTTACGGCTGGGCAGCCGGGCTCTGCTGGCGCCGCGCTCCGGCGCTACATCCCGCAGCGCTGGAGGCCGCCTGCGGCCGAGCGGCCCGGATCCTTAGCGCCCTCCCCGCGCCGGAAGGGGCGCGCGCCCACATGGCGTCACTTCCGCCGCCGCGTCGCCTCCTCTCGGCGCTCGCTGCCCTCGCACCCGGCGGTCTCCCCGTGGGCCCGCCCCGCTCCTCGTGACCACGCCTCCTCCGGCTAGGCCCCGCCTCCCGCCCGACCACGCCCCCCGTCCCGGCCCCGCCCCCTGGCTGCGCTCGACAGGAGACTCCAGCTCGCCAGACCTCGGGAGGACCACGCCCTCAAGCGGCAAACTGGAACGCGCGCTGGAGAAGGAATTTCAGGGAATTCGACCCAACCCCGGGAAGGAATGCCGAATATCCTACCTTGCACCCTGTTGTCTAAACTGAGAAATGCCCTACATCTCCTCTTTTACCGACACGAGTTGTTTTAGCTCCGAAATTTGCTAATCCCTCTTCCTCAATCTCGTGGTCCCTCCCTCCCTGCCACAGATGTTTATCGAGCGCCTGTCACCTGCAAGGCACCGGGCTAGCCTCCGCTTCTGGCTCCTGTTATTTCTCGTCCGAACAGCGGAATGGTTTTTAACCAGTCTCGCTAGAGGACGCCCCACTGCAGCGCGCGCTCCCGCACGGCGGCCAGAGTGGCGGCCCCGGAGTGCACGTCTGGGAGGCTCCAGGGGGTGGGCCCTGATCGGAACCACGGAACACAGTTTTCTCAGTTCTCCCGAGGATGGTACATGACGAGTGCTACTCTAGATGCAGAGAGACAGTAGTTTATCATAATCTTATACGGATGCCTTGGGGCAGTGGAATTACCGTTCTTGCTGCTGGTTAAAAGCGTGGCATGACCAGCCTATGATCTTGAGCACGTTACTGAACCCCTCCAAATAATAATTACCTCACCTAGAAAATGGGAATAAAATAGTGCTATTTCACTGGGTCTTTCTCAGGATTGAGTTAATTTATGCAGGCTGATGCCTGGCAAATGGTAAACGCTCCATAAACGTTGGCTATGATGTGTTGCCCTCTGTATATAACCCTCAGAAACGTCTGTTGTCCACAGGGTTGAGTTTCAGTTTCTTCAGCATGGCATCTCAAGGCCTCACCTTCCTCCACTTTCCCGCTGGCATCTGAGCCTCAATGAACCTATCTGAGTTCTCCAAATACAAACTTCTCTGTCATTCCTCCAGGCTTTTGCCCATGCTGATCCTTCTGTTGGATTGCCCTTCTCCCACTCTCTGCTGAAAGATGCCTAGTTCTAGGCTTAGCTTTGGACTGAGACAATCCTATGTTGACATTCAGGCTCTGTCAGCCACTGACCAGGTGTCTGACCTTTGCAAATCCTTAATCTTAGACTCACAGGGTTTTCATAAATTATATGCTCTGTACTTAGCACAGTACCTGGTACGTGGTTAATTCTCCTTCTCTGAATCTTTCCCAGCCCCTCCCCATCTGTTCCTCATGTATCTACTAGGTATTAACCACACCGTGTTATAATTGTTGATCACCTGTCTATCTCACTCTAGACTATGAGTTCTTTGCGGGTTTAAGACCAGTCTTGGTCACAATCATATCCTCAGGGCCCAGCACAGTGCTTGGCACGTGGCAGGTCTCTAATACATGTCCGTATGTTGAGTGGGTAAGGCAGAAACCTGTGCAAGACAAGGAATGGTGAGCTTCCATGTGGGAAATTCCCTTTGCTGGGCTTCTTCACTATCTGAGCCCAATGTTGCTAAGCAAGATTTCCCTTTTTGGAGGTGAGGTGGCTGAGTGCGTCTCACAGAGCACAGTGCCATAACATACTAGCTCATCAAGAAATATCTGATACCGTACCAACAACAGAAGTTACTGACAACTCTGCTCTGTGGAGGGGTGAATTCTGAGGGTCCCAGAAGCCTTTCTTCCAGGGGCCCCAGGGACAGCAATACACAGTTCCATGCAGAAGAACATGTCGACCCTCCTCCTGAGACTGATGCTTTTTCTGTCCCATTGGGACTAACAAAGATCTGAAGAAGCTGCCCTTGCCCAACCCTGGGAGAAGGGAGTGGACTGGGTCGTGTTCTCATAGCGGAGGAGACAGGCAGTCCGGACAGATGGGCCTGCGGGAGGCCAGCTCTGTCCAGACACCAGCAAGTCTGGCTAGGGCTGGTGATGTCAGGTTACTTTTTAAAGGAGGAGGCTTCTCTTCCAAATAGAAAGACAATCCTCTGGTTTGTTTGTCTGGTACCCTGTAGGATAAATATGGTGAAGGGCCAACAGAAGGAAGAAGGGAAAGAGGAGCCAAACCAAGGGACCACTGCGAGGGGTTCCTGGGCTCAAAAAGCCTCCCCTCTAACTTGTATTCTCTTTCCCTCACCTTAAAAGCCTCCAGGGAGAAGCTGAGCTTCTGATTCTGCTGAAACAGCTGCTAAGATGATCACTGAGTTTGGTGGCAGCTCACATTTCAGCACATGGTACAACTGCTCAACGGTTCTTTGGAAGACCTGGGAAAAATTCTGTGCTGGGAAACTGTTCCTCCCAAGATTCTCAGGCATGAAAAGCCTTGGACACAGGACCCCAGACACAACAACCCCTTAGGTATAACACTGGGGCCTTAGCCACATTTATTTGCATAGCCAGAGGTTCCTGCCACAAGCAGCAGTCTTAGACTGTGGGTTGCTACTTCCCTCCAGCCTGGGCAGGGACAGAGACAGACAGATACAAATAAATATTTCAGATTCCATTCTCTAAGCTCTGCAGAAACCATTTCTTCTTTTCCTGCAATTTCTATAAGACTACTTCTGTAAGTCTGCTCAACTTGCACTCACACACATGGAATCTGCTATGGGTTAAGCACTGAATATTAAGTAACACCCATTGGATAGATTCTTCCTTTCATCACAGACACAAAGAATAGTGCAGTGCTCTCAAGGAACTAGCCAGTCTTGGATCAAATGTACATGCTTCCTTCTTTCTGACCCGTGGAAGAGATTGCTCCATGCGCCTGACCTGGACCTTTTACCACAGGGAGATGTGCAGGGGCCTTCCAGGGAGCGACTCAGCCTTGGCCCTTTTCCATGGCTATAAGGATGTTGTTTCTGCAGGTACCATGGAGATTTCAGCTCCAGAGTAAGACAAAAAGGCTGATCCTGTCAGGAAAGGAATCCAGGGCTTAAGGCATTTGTGTACTGACTGGGGACACTGCAGGGCCCAGGGAACTAGGGGACGCTCAGTAGGTGAATCGCATCTTCTGCGTGTAGCCCAGTTTGTCCAAGTTCGGATGGCAGGCCAGCTGTACCATCGGGGGAGGCCCACAGAGCAGCAGCAGCACGTCATCTGCCGGGGCGGGCAGGTGGTCCCGGATCATGTCGGCAGTCACAAAGCCCTTGCTGTAGGCCCACTCTGAAGGACAGGGGAGAGGAGAGAACTGACACTCCAGACCCGTGCTGCAAGGGGGTGCCATGCCCGGAGATGGGGAGGACCCAGAAAGGCACCAGGTGTAGCAGTAGCTGGATGTGTAGCAGCAGGGCCATCGCGGCCACCCTCCGTGAACAGTAATTGGGAGGAAAGGGCCCAGGAGACCAGCGTCCCCATGCACTCGGACTTGGGAATCAGGCAGTGTCAGGGAGGGTTAGTTTCACTGAAACAGAGCTCAGAGGTGCGAGGCCCTGATTTGGGGAGGGTACCTTCTGAGGGATGATCCAGAGTGAACCAGAGCTTAAAGCGACGGGGATATCGGGCCTGCAGTTCCTCCAAGTCCTCTCGCAAGATTATATCCTTTTCAGTCTGAAACGAAAAGGGGACGCAGTCTTTAGGGAACTCCTCAGGCCCACACAGAAAAAGTGCTCTGCTATAACAGCTTTCCAACCAGGAGAGAAAAAGAAAACTCAAGTTCCAGGGAATAAGCAGGACTTTCAGGGGGCTGGAATGAGAATGAGGGTAAGGCCTCTATTTACACGGCATAAGGGAATGAAGACAGAATGTGTACCCAAGGAGAGGCACACTTCTATGTCAGGACTGGAGTCCTCCCATGTTTCCTTTCCTTTGGGCAGGGAAGGAACCGGGCCCAGTACTCTGTCCTCCTTGCTGCAGGAGAGGACCCTCTGCCTTGCAGGGACTGTGGGCAGGGGCTAGACAGGCTCTGGATCAGTTCTCGCTGTCAGCACACCTCTCAGGCCCACCCACTTTGCAGCTTTGCATCCCAGGACCGAGAGGAGGAAACCAACCTGGTTGGCGAAAAGCAGAAAGCACTGGGTTGGGTCTTGAGGGTCACTCAGGACGGCCCGGAGCAGCTGCAGCATTGGGGTGACTCCTGCATCAAGATACCGCCCCCCCAGAGTGAGAGGCCTCTCCCCTGACTCCCAGCTCCTCAGCCCTTTGCCTCACTTCTCCTCATTCACCACTCCACTCTGATTTCCTTTAGTGCCCCAATCCTCTCATCTCCCCCTGTGTATCCTCCAGTACCTACACTTCTGGACACATATGCCCTTCACCCCACACTCACTGAAATTCTTATCTGGTAGGTGGATGGTGGTCATGCTCAATACTCACTTAAGTTCCCATTGCTGAAATCTGTCTAAGGAATCAATCTAAGACTTCCTCTGAGAGCCCGTTGGAGGCTAGGACTCAAATATCACAGGTGACTATAAGTACCTCCTGATTCAGTGATGAGGGTTCTGGAACACTGGACACGCAGGTTAAGTGCACATGCTTTGGAATTGGGCAGAGTAGATACTAATCCTGCCTCTGGCCACTACCAATTAAATAACACTATAGAAACCATTCAACCTCTCTGAACCTCCAGTTTCTCATCTGTAAAAGGGGAAGGCTAGCGCCTGCTTCATAGATGCATACATATAGTGACTATCATGGCATCTAATACATGGAAGTAACCAATGCTAATTTTCTTTCTTGTTGACTATCCTATTCCTAGTTGCTTCTCTCTATTCTCACCTAAAACTTATGAGAAACATTCAATTTGAGGTCTTGGGAGAGCCCACCTGATTTATTTCTCTCATTCTATCAGTTAAAAAAATTTTGGGGGGGTTTCTATGTCATTGTGATTTTGTTTATCAGATACTGGGGAGCTCTAGCCACTGCTGGGAATCCTGAATAACAGCTTGGCTATGATTACCAAACCTTCACAGGGTCACTTGGAAGTTTTCATGGCAACAATCAACAACGGTGGGGGAGAATGGCCCCTGAAGTGACATACACCTGTTCCGCCGGCAATCATTCCCAGTTTCTTCACCACTCGGGGCTCTGGTGGAGATTTTTTGTTGGGCTGAATGCTAAAAGTCCCTGAGAAGTCAAGTGAAGAGGAGGGTAGGAGAATGAAGTCAATATAGAGAACTAAGAAAACAAACGCAGAACTGAAAACATGTCGCAGGCCAGTTTAGCAGCTGCTATGAAACCTGATCTTGGAGCTTGGGTAGGGGTTTGAGTTGAGCCAGCTCTGACAATAATACACTTGAGGAACAATGGGGCCAGGACTATTTGTCCCATATTATTAACTACCAGTCAGTTTAGGGCCACACCGTGAGTCATCAGCTGCTTTTGGCAGAGGGTCACTCCTTGCTGAGGGCGACAGGCACAGGGCCAGGTGTGAACCTGCTTTCCCAAGTGGCACAGAGCAGCCCCAGAAGCTTGCTAATGCACCCAGCTGTTCCCATGAGAAGGACTGAAAGCTCTCTCTGGTTCTCCAAACAGCTCAGCCTGAGGGCGAATCTTTCAGGGAGGCAAAGAGAGGTAGTGCTTGCTTCACAAACTCCACAGCTGTCATGGCTGCTCAATTCAGATGGACAGGGAACTGATCCCTGTGGCAAACGGGGCTGAGAGAGACGCATTTCCATAATAGCTGTGCTATGTTTAAAGGAAGGGCAGCTCTGGTCCTTACACACATGCACACACATGAACACACACAGCCACACTGTGCCAAGAGCACTGTGGGCACGGGAGACGTGGGACACAGGCTCAAGGAGAAAAGAGGCTGTTACCCTTTCCTGTGTAAGTGAGCAACCCACTTGGCCCTCGAAACTCCACCACATCCCCAATCTTCAGGCTATTCAGGTACTGAGACATCTTCCCCCCCTCAGGAAATTTGGGGTGCACACCCTTCAGGTAGACCTGGTAAGACAGAATGGAAAATACTTTGTTGGAACGTCACTGATTTCTGAGCCCCCTGTTGACTGACCCTCCCTGAAGCTGGGGCAGGGATGAGACATGTGCCATCTTTTCCTAGTCCACCTACTTTCTTCATATCCACAAAGGACACACATCTCCTGCTATCAAACACATCTTGGAAGTTCCCACAAATCCCAGAAAGAGTAGGATAAAGAGCTCCTGGGGCTCCTTCCTACCCCCTTACCTTGATGACAAGATCCACGTAACCTTGGTCCTCATCACTGGTGACAGGAGTGTATGGCCTGATGACCAGGCTGCCATCAATTCGGGCAGAGAGGTAGACATGTTTGCCTGGGGACCATGCAGAGAGCTACATAAGGGCTGCTTGCAGATGTGCTGCATTCCTGTTACCTTTCAAAGTACTCAGAGAGATTTGAGAGGACAAGGACATCTTGCTTCCTACTGTGGTCCCAGTGAGCTACCAGGCAGCGAGGATTCACCCCTTTGAACCACAGTTGGATCCTTCATAAGTCCCCCATTGGAGAAACTCATCAATTACTGCCAGGACCTTTCAGCCGCAGTGAGTTGAGGGTTTGGGCAGTGGGGAAAAAAATGAGTGGTTGCTCTAGGGCAGGTATGAGCAAATCCTGCAGGAAGGAGGGAGGACGGCTGAGTGTTAAAGATGTCTGGGGGCACAGACGCCATACCCTAGAGTGGCCCAGTAGCACCTCACAGCCTGGAGGATCCAGTGCCAGGTGGGGGAGGGGAATGGGATGGGGAGGCAATAGATGGAAGCAGCGTGTTTCAGGAGACCCCAGAAGGGGAATCAGCCCTCTAGGACACCAGGGAAAGAGCCCACTCCACACTTTCCTTACCCACAGGCAGCCCCAGAACGTGGTGGGCGGTGGGCAGAGCAAAGCGGAACCTCTTGGTGTTGTGGCTCACAGTCTGGAGAATGGATGACACGAGTGTTTCACCAGGCAGGTCTGGTGCTGCCTACGGGCATCCCAACCACAGTGGATGCTGTCCGTTTCATACAAGGAGGGAACTCTGGTCCCCTCCTCTTCCCCAGCCCCTTCCTCCAACTTACCGTCTTATCTAGCAGTCGCAGCAGGTACTTCTCATTGGGGTCCAGAAGAGTGACCAGCGGCCGGCGGGACCTCCGAACCAAGTAGGATCCCAGGGCCAGGCCGAGCAGAGTCAGCAGTCCCACCCCCAGGGAGGCCAGCAGGACTGGGCTCTGTGGGTAGAAGGGGCCGCGTAACCGCCACGCTGGGGAAGCGCCCGGGGAGTGGGTGGTGACCGTCCCCTACGCCCAGCCGCCCCAGGGGTGCCGACCAGGCGCTCCAGCGCGGGAGCGGGGGTATCTGGGCGGGGTCCCGAGCCCCCATGTGCGGTACCGGGACCCCGGCATCCAGGGCTGGGTCGGCGGAAAGAGCCCTGGTCCAGAGCTGAGCGCCCAGAACCAGATGGCGCAGAGTCCCCTGGTGCAGCACGTGGAGCGAGGGGGCTCCGAGGGGGCTCACCGGCTGGAAAGCCATGACCGCGAGCCGTGTCCTCCACCGCCAGCCGGCGAGCAGATCCCACAATGCGCCTCGGGGCCTGGCAATGGGCGGGACCATACAGAGGAGGGGCTTGTAAGTGGGCGGGGCCGGAAGGAGGCGGGGCCTGGCAGTGGGCGGGGCGGACGGGTCTGTAGGTGGGCGGGGCCTGGAAGGAGGCGGGCCGGAGGGCGGAGTGGCTCTGAGCCCCACCCCTTCCTTCCCACGCTCGCTGGCGGCTGGGCCCAGGAGCCGGGTGCTTACCAGAGACCTTTGAAGACAGCAGTTCCAGCCTCTCCTCCCCAGCCTTCTGTCCCTGCCACTTCGACCCGCTTAGCCCCTCTTAGCCCGGAACAGGGTGGGAGTCCTGTCAAATGTAGAGTCTCACCAAGTCGGGGGACTGGAAATCAGTCTGCGAATGCTTAACACACAGGGTGGGGCGTTGAGCCAGAGACAGGCTCGAGGTGGAGCAGCAGGGGCTGAAATTAATCATCGTGTGGTCACCTTAGTTTTTCAACAGCTGAATTACAACAAGAGAATTGAACAGCCTGGCGGAGTCTCCTTCAGGCATGAACGGTGTATAGCAACTTCATAGCAACTGCATTTGCTGGTCCCACTTGACTGGTTTTGCTCACAGCGCCGGGACATCAGGCCATCGTGATCACTCAGGAGCTTGTTTTGGGTCCAGTCAAGCTCATTGTCCAGATCTGGGTTCTCCTGCCCTCAGGCTCAAAGAGAACTGAACAAGAATTTCACCTTGAGCACTTACTGGCTGTGAGCTTAGGCAACTTACTCAACTTCTTTGCGATTCCTCATCTATGTAGATGGATATGTACTATCATCTATCTAGTTCATAACGTTATTATGAGGCTTAAATGAGATATGTAATGTGCTTAGTGTACTGACTGTACACATGGAGCAAAATACTCAACAGATGTCAGCTACTATAATGACCCAGGAGACAGCACTGATGCTCAGTTAGGGTTTTAAGAGCAAGCTCTGTTGGCAGCAGAAGCGTGGGACAGGTGGAGTCAGAAACTGAGACAGACACTGAGAGCCCACTGGAGCTACAAATTTGCCAAGATGGCCGTTCTTTCTCATACATAGTTTCCCAACCAGATTGACACTTGCTCTTGATTTCTTCTGAGACCTCTCTCCTTGGCTTGTAAGTGGTGGTCATCTCCCTTCACATTGTCTTCCCTCTGTTTGTCTGTGTCCTAAGTTCGTCTTCTTATAAGGATGTGTCACATTGGATTAGGGTCCACCCTAATGACCTCATTTTACCTCTTTAAACTCTATCTCCAAATACAGTCACATTCTGAGGCAGTAGGGGGCTAGGACTTCAATAAATGAATTTTGGGGGGACACAATTCAGGCCATAACAGGGGGTGCTATTTTAAATGCCATTGTTTTATAAAATTTTTATTTCCAATTGTATTTACTAGTGTATAGAAATATGATTGATTTTTGTGTGTTGACTTTGTATTCTGTGAACTTGCTAAACTCATTAGTTCTAAGAGTTTTTAAAATATTTCAATGGAAATGTAAAAATTTCTCGTAAGTAACATTGTTTCCTCTCTTAAGAAAGTTAAAGCTACTGGTTTAGCTATTCTTAACTTTTTAGAGATAGATATGAAACATTTCAATGCTCTGATGAAAGTATTCTCTTCTTAGAAAAATGCATTTATGAATTCATACCAAATTTTGGACACAGTTCTAGGGGATTCGTAGATACTTAAAATGTCCATTATTGAATCCCAGCTAAACTTTGCTCCAGCAAGGTCTCAACCTTGGCACATTGGAGGTTTGGGTCTTGCTATGGTCTGAATGTGTCCCCCTCAAAATTCATATTGAAATCCTAACCCCCAAGGTGATGGTATCAGGAGATGGAGGCTTTAGGAGGTGATTAGGCCTTGAGGGCAGAGTTTTCATGAATGGGATTAGTGCCCTTATAAAACAAGCCTGAGAGTTCCTTTACCACTTTCTGCCACATGAGAACACAGAGAAAAGACAGCCACCCATACACCAGGAAGGAGGTTCTCACCAGGGGCAGAATCTGCCGGCACCTTGATCTTAAACTTCCCAGGCTCCAAAACTGTGAGAAATAAATTTCTGTTGTTTATAAGTCACCCAGGCTATAGTATTCTATTATAGCAGCCCAAACAGACTAACACAGGTGTGTAGATATGCGCCAAAGCCGGTTCCACCTCCATGATCATGGTACTATCATGACAGTTGCAACTCCAGATAGGGCAATAACTTCTTCATAGAAAGATCTTAGGGGGTTAGAGTTGTGTGGGGATAAGAGCCAAGGCAGTTCATGGTGTCTCCTTCCCTCTCTCTGGCCGTTGGAAGCCAGGTTATTGTCTTGTCTCTGCCCCAACTATTGTAAGTAGCCCACAAAAATCAGAACTAGGATGACATACATCTGAGCCTGCTGGGACAGTCCTGGTTTACATCTGCTGTTCTGGTGTAATTTTTCATGGTGCTTCCTTTCACTCTCAAAAGTGTCCCAGTTTGGACAATAAATCACATGGTCACCTTACTCAGAATGAGCAGGCTTTGATCAATTTCTAGCTTTATTTCTTGTCAACCATGTGATTCCATTCCCAAATCCCGTCCTTTCAGAATTCCCATTTTGCCCTCTAACTCTCCTCCTCCTTGTACTCAGTCCAGACTTTGATCTGCCTGATTAGGAGCCAAGACTCTTGAGGTGCTAGCACCACCAGTCGTACACAACGCAACTCCTCCACAGAATCTTCTTCGTAAAATACCCTCTGGTCCAAATTTCCTTCCACCAGTGGACCTAGCAGGGTATAGCGAGCACAGCCTTTGGAATTCTCTAAGAGCTCATAGCCCAGTTCTATCTGCCCTTGGTGCAGCCGGTACAGGCCTTGTTTGTCAGAACCTGTCAACACCTCTATCCGGATGACTTTTTGTGGCCTCTCCAAAATCACTGTCAGGTAGTTGCCTCTTACAGGATCAAACGTAGAATAGCACTCATCGTTAAGAGTGTAAGCATATTGTGGAATAATATTAGATAGTGTCATCATGTCACTGAGGACACTGGCAACGGGGTTGTCTGGTTCACCAAAGATCTCTTCCTTCTCCACAGGAAAGCATGTGTCCACCAACACAGAATAATTGTCCCTGTAGGAGAAGACTGAGGAACTGAAACGAATTGGAGTGTTTTGGGCCAAGAGAAGACGGAATTCAGAGAGAAGCAAGTGAATAGGAGTGTCCTTATGGAAGAGGAGAAAGAAAGAGGTCAGGCGGGAGAGGTCGCTGTTGTGGAAAACTTTCCCAGAGAAGCTCAGGCTGGAGAACTCCAGGATCACCCAAGGTAGTTCTTTCCAGGCTGATAATGCCCAATAGATGGTAGAAATAAATTTGGGGGTGCAGTGAACATTATCTTCCAGCATCAGAAAGTATTCAGAGAGGTTGAAAGCAAAGTTCATGAGGAGGGCATAATCGACTTTCTGCCTGGAGTCACGTGCGTCACAGGGCAAGGAGTGATTAGCGCTGTTCAGATCTCTTGGGAAGGGAGAGCCACTGAGACAACCGTGGATCATGAGCAGGTTTTGGTCCTCGATGTGTGGTTTGAAGAGGCTTGAAATATTGGCAGCTGTTTGGCTGAGCCATTCAGGGTCAGGATCTGACAGGTAGACCAGCACCACAACACAATCCAACTCAGGTCCTGAGGAAGCTTGAAACAGGGACTGCAGGGTGTCCAAGAGGTAGCTCCCACGAGGATTCCGTGCTGAGGAAATGCCCACTGTCAGCAGTTCTGGGGGCGGGAGAGAGAAGAGAACCTTTAGCACTTTAAGATGGTGAAAGTTGCTGGGTCTCTCCTCCCAGGTCTTCCCCTTAATGCCAATACCTGTGACAAATTCACATTTCTATTCCCTGGGAGAGTGTGGTCTGGATAAGAGGTTAAACTCTGACCAGAAGTTGTCAAGTGGTTTTATTTGATCTCTATTTTGAAAGGCTGTTTGAGGAATCTTTATGAAGGAAAAGGCTCTCTGTGATGGAGAAGCCTGCCCTGTACCAAAGGTAAACTTGCTGGCTTGGCAAATTAGCCTGGCCTTGACCTCAGGGTTATCTCAGCTCCCGTGGATCAACCAGACCTGGATCTGAGGATCTCCAGGGCCCTGTGTAAACCCTGGGGCTCTGGCAGTCTGGTGCACAGCAAGTCAGCATCCATCTGCCCTCTTCTCTCTCTACCCAGGCTGTTTCCCATGGCTCCCTCTGGGTTCCCTCCCTCCTGTCTTCCCCTCCCTGCCATGAGTGTGCTTCACTATGTGATGGCTTACTATGGACTTCTCATCCTGTTGGTCATTCAAAGGGTGGCAGGTGGGAAGAGAAGGCACTCAGAATTATCCCTGCACCAAATTCCATAGCGTGGCCCTCCCTCAGAGCACCCTCCTTTCCTCACCAGATGGCAGCTCATTTGCCTTTTATCCACCTTCCTTTTTCCTGTCGGAAACTGATATGACCTTGTCCCAATCTGACCACTCCCTCCCATGTACTCACTCTTTTCCTGGGGAGGGGCTCCAGCCAGGAATTTGTAGTTGGCATGATGGAGTAAAGGGGAGTTTTGCTGCATCTCCTTGAAGGTCTTTAGATGGTTCTTGCTTTCAGAGCTGATTCGCTCCTGGTCTAACTGCCACAGTATTTTCTTCTTTTCCTCCTCCTGAGGATAGGATAAGCATCAGCCTTGAGGTTCATCCCTGCATCCCTGGAGACAATTGGGGAGCAGATCCCCCTTCTAGGACAAGCTAGGCAAGCCCCAGGATGCAGTCACCAGGTTGCCAAGTGTCAGGGTTCAGTTAACCATTATCCCCACCTCACCAGGAGGACACACAGGGTTTTCCAGAAGGGCTGAACTCTGGCATCAGGGAAGTGGTGCTCCCCAGTTCTGTGTGGAATGGCTGTAGGAAGGTCCTAGGTGTAGAGTAAGAACTTGCCTGCCCCCACCATGCCCCACATCTAATTTCTCCTACTATTATCAGGCTGGCGAAAGTCATCTAACTCAGCTTAGACCGTGCTAGGTTCTGTGACAGATGCTGAAGACCAATGCTGGTCCTGTCCTTGAGGAAGTTATACATAGTGCCTCAGTTCTAAAGTCCTTTCTCCTGCTCGATTCTGACCAAACACATTTCTGGACCACTTCCCCACAACCGCTTTATGCTTTGCTCCAGCTGGTCTGAGGCATTTAGGAAAAATGCAGACTTTAAACCTGAGCATGACTTGTGTTGGGTGTGGCCTTCTCCATTTGCAGACGTTGAACATGGGCGATGTTATTTTAGGGCTCTGAGTTTCAGTCCCTTCATGTGAGATGTGGGAAGATAACATCTCTCATGCTAGGCCCTGGTGAGGGAAGCGGCCAGAACCCAGGCAGGCATCATCACGCGCTGGTCCTGCCAGTCCGCACGGTCTTCTAGAAGTGTCTGTGCATTGCTCTCTCCACACTCAAAATGCCCTCTCTTCCTCTCTGCCTTTATTCAAATATTGTTTATACTTCAAGGCTGGTTCAACATTTATCTTTTCTCTGGTACTCTCTTGATTCTTCAAGTGTTCTCATCTGAGAACTTCTATGGTGATATTAGAGTGTTCACATAACTGGAAGAATTTACCTCCTAGTGAAGGATTAGCAAGCGGTCCATCCTCAATCTCTGGTACTTACCAATGATAAACGGTATTCAATACGCTCTTCCTTATTCTTCTGGAGGAAGAAGCTGAGGAAGATTAAGGACACAGCAACTATGATATATTTCCACAGGCAGTGATGCATGGTGCTGGGGCCTGGAGCAGCTCTGCAAAGAAATGTGAGCGGAATATGGGTCCTGAGTGCATCTTGCTCAGAGATGCATAGGGATGTTCTCCTCTTGCTTGGGAGCCTCCCACTTCCTTTCCCCCATCATTCCTCCTGGGCACCACTGCCAAATTATTTCCTTAGCCTTTTCCCTTTGAATTTGACCCCTCCCCACCTACTTGTAGCCATCTAAGGAGAGACAAATGTCAAGGAGTTTGATTCTGTTCGACCTCTACATTCTTCACCTCCTGTCTGGGTTTCCAGGTGAAATTGGAGTCACTTCTTTCGTTCATCCACTCTTGAAGTAGAGACCCAATCAGAGATGATGTGTTGCCAAGAAGAGGAAATCAAAGGTTAGGTATTAATCATACCCTTCCCTAAGCTTCCAACTCAAGCCAGAGTCTCCACTTGGGTGTTCTTGATTAACAAATTGGGTCTCATCTATTAACTCCCCACTTACTTTTGTGTCTGATCCTTCCCAGGATTATGCTAGGCAGACTGTGAGGTTTTGAATCAAGTCAGAGGGACCAAGGGAAACTCTTGTTACTATATCCTCCCCATCCTGGACTAGTAAGAAGGATGGAGACCTAAAAGTGACCAGAAATTTCTAATCACGTGAAAGTTTTTACCATGTTTGGAGTGCTATATCCATTGGAGGCTTTCTGTCTAACAGAAAATGTGGCTTGAGGGTTTACCATAGAGCAAAGATTTCTCTGAAATCAAGGAGAAAAAACTCTAATGTTGCAGGGTGGGGGCCCAGAGGGATTTCTCTGAGGTAGCTGAAACTAGTCACCTCTCCCAGGAGACCCTGCTTGACAACCATTGTTCACCCTGAATGGGGGCCTGCTCACCACTCCAGCCTCACATCAAACACCTGTTTCTAGATAAAGTGGGAGGCAAGTTTTAAAACCAGATTTCCTGTCTTTTATCTCAAACCAGGAAGTTTAGAAATTAACTGTCAGTTTGAATCAAATTGACAAGGGTGGATATTGAATGGGTATCTAATAGGCCTTTCCCCTGTTAGAGGGCCCCCATAGATGGTTCCAGGGGGAGGAGCTGCCTGCCAGTCTGTACCCCTCCCTGCCCAGGCTGCTGTCTAGTGGGTCTGTTAATCACCACAAATTGGTCCTCAAGTCTCCCATTCTTTCTTGGGCCCAGAATTGCCCAGTGAGCCTCCGAAGTTTCTTTTCTTCCCTTTATCTATTCTTTTCATTACTGGTTTTGTCAATTCAACTTTTTAGATATGAAAAATGGAACCTGTATTTAGGATCATATTTTACTTATAACGGTTTTTTTCTGTCAGTTTTATTGAGATATAATTGACATACAGAACTGTGTGACTTTAAGATGTAGAGCATGTCAACTTAAACAGCAAATTTTCCTGTTATCTCAAAATGAGTTCATTTGGGAATAGCCAAAGGAAGTACAATTCAGAATGTGCATGCCATAGCAAATCACAGGCAAATCCAGAAAAAAAGGGGGGAGCTGCTTTTATAGAGAAAACCAGGGAGAGGGAGGGGCTGTTCTAAAGGAAAGCCCATCTCGGGGAAGTGGCAGTTTAGGGGGGCAATGGCTTCTCATTGGCTGGCCTGCAGCGTTTCTCATTGGCTGGGCTGTCGGCCATGGGGAGAGAAATCTTCCTTCAGTAGTTAAAGTGGTTTCACTTCCTGTCCAAGATGCAGGCTCCCTCTCTTCCTGTTTGGTGTAACTGAGGATGCGTGATAGGGTGTGAGTGCTGCCCCTACAGGCCTTCCCAACTCCAGGTTCGTTAAGGTCTCTTTTCTTAATTTCCACAAGTCATTAGACTTTACCTACATATATTCCAAAATGATTACCACCATACATTTAGTTAACATCCATCAACTCATATAGATTAAAAAAAAAGGGAAAAAGAAAAAAAAGTTTTTTTTCGCATGATGAGAACTTTTAGGATTACTTTCGCAGCAACTTTCAAGTATACTGCACAGCAGAGTTAACTATGGCCCCCACGCTGTACATTACATCCTCCGTACCCATTTATCTTGTAACTGGAAGTTTGTACATTTGACCTTGTTCATCCAATTCCCCTAGTCTCTACCTGCCCGCCCTCCCTCCCTACACCACCCCCACCCCCGCCACCTCTGGTAAACACAAATCTGTTCTCTTTTTCTGTGGGTTTGTTTTTTCAGATTTCACATGTAAGTGAGATCATGCAGAGTTTATCTTTCTCTGTCTAACGTGTCTCACTTAGCATGAGGCCCTCAAGGGTTATCCGTGTGGTTGCAAATGGCAGGATTTCTTCTTTTTATGGCTGAATAGTATTCCACTGTGTATATTACACACACTGCATTTTCCTTAACCATAATAATATTGTTTTGACAAGAATGTGTGTTTAACTACTACGGTCTTCTACTAGGGCATAGCTTCTTTCAACTAAAGCCCTTCTCCTCCCCTCTCTCCCCGCTTTGAATCTTCTTTTTGGAATTTTTCTCCCCTCTCCTCCCCTTTCTCCTCTAGGAACCAAAAAGCAAGCAAACAAAAAAACTACTAAAACCTTTATATTGAGGTTAAGATGGTTAGAGAAGATCTAGAACCATTTTTTTGCATTAAAAAGTTATGTGTAATTTTGACGTTCAATTTATCATTTTTTTCTTTTATGGTCAGTGATTTTTTTCTCCTGGTTAAAAATATGATGTACTACAAGATAGCAAAGATATTCTCTTATGTTTCCTTCTAGAAGCTTTATAGTGTTTTCCCACAGATTTATTGAAGTATGACTGACAAATGAAAATGAGATATATTTAAGGTGTACAACTTGATATCTTGATATACATTTGCATTGTGAAATAATCCCCACAATCAAGTTAAATAACACATCTATCACCTCACAGTTACCATTTTCTTTTTTTTTTAAAGATTTTATTTTTCCTTTTTCTCCCCAAAGCTCTCCAGTAAATAGTTGTGTATCTTTAATTGTGGGTCCTTCTAGTTGTGGCATGTGGGATGCCTCCTCAGCGTGGCCTGATGAGTGGTACCAGGTCCACGCCCAGGATCCGAACTGGCGAAACCCTGGGCCGCTGAAGCAGAGCGTGTGAACTTAACCACTTGGCCACAGGGCTGGCCCCACCATTTTCTTTCTTTCTTTTTTGTTGTGAAGTCCCTTAAGATCTACCCTCTTAGCAAATTGCACATATCCAATACAGTATTGTTAACTCTAGTCACATTATTGTACATTAGATCCCAAGAGCTTATTAATCTTGCGGAACTGAAACTTTGTACCCTTTGACTAAGGTCTCCCCATTTCTGCCTTCCCCCAGTTCCTGGCAGCTACCATTCTACTCTCTGCTTCTAGGAGTTTGATTATTTTAGATTCCACACATAAATGAGATCACTCAGTATTTGTCTTTCTCTGTCTGGCTTATTTCACTTAGCCTACTGTCCCCAAGTTCATCCATGTTGTTGCAAATGGTAGAATTTTCTCCTTTTTAAAAGCTGAATAATATACCATTGTGTATATAAATATGTACCCCCCTCACACACACACATTTTCTTTATCCATTCATCTGGCAACAGACATTTAGGTTGTTTCTGTGTCTTGGCTATTGTGAATAATGCTGCGATGAACATGGGGGTACAGATACCTTTTCGAGATACTCATTTCATCTTTTGGATAAATACCCAGCAGTGGGATTGCTGAATCATAGTTAGTTCTATTTTTAACTTTTTGAGGAACCTTCACACTGTTCTCCATAGTGGCTGTACAAATTTACATTCCCACCCACAGTGTACAAGTGTTCACTTTTCTCCACATCCTCAAACTTACCTTTTTTTTTTTTGTAATAGTCATTCTAACAGATGTGAGGTGGTATCTCGTTGTGGGTTTTTTTTCTTTTTTGAGGAAGATTAGCCCTGAGCTAACATCTGCTGCCAATCCTCCTCTGTTTGCTGAGGAAGACTGGCCCTGAGCTAACATCTGTGCCCATCTTCCTTTGCCTTATGTGTGGGACGCCTGCCACAGCATGGCTGACAAGCAGTGCTTAGGTCCGCTCCTGGGATCTGAACCAGCAAACCCCAGGGCGCCAAAGCGGAACATGCGAATTTAACTGCTGTGCCACCAGGCCAGCCCCATCATTGTGGTTTTGATTTGCATTTCCCTGATGATTAGTGATGTTGAGCACATTTTCATATACCTTCCGGTTGTTGGTATGTCTTCTTTTGAGAAATGCCTGTAAAGGTCCTCTTCCCATTTTTTAACTGGGTTGTTTTCTTTGCTATTGAGTTGTATGAATTCCTTTTATATTTTGGATATTAACCCCTTATCAGATATATGGTTTACAAATATTTTCTCCCATCCCATAGGGTGCTTTTTCATTTTGTTGATTGTTTCCTTTGCTGTGCAGAATATAGTGTTAGTTTTTATTTTTATAAATTGAGTTCATAATAGTTTACATCATTTTGCGATTTCAGTTGTATATTATTTCTTGACTGTCACAACATAAGTGCTCCCCTTCACTCCCTGTGCCCACTCCCCCAGCCCCCTTCCCCTGGTAACCACTGAACTGTTTTCTTTGTCCACGTGTTTGTTTATATTCCGCATATGAGTGAAATCATCTGGTGTTTGTCTTTCTCAGACTGGCTTATTTCGTTTAGCATAATTCCCTCCAGGACCTATAGTGTTAGTTTTTAACTTTAGGTCTATGATTCATCTCAAATTAGTATTTGTGTATGGGATGAGGTAGGGGTTGAGGTTCGTTTTTTTGCACTTATATTCAGTTGTTCCAGCCCCATTTGTGGAAGAGACTTCCCCTTACCCTCTGAGTTACCTTGGCATCTTGTCAGAATCAATTACCTGGATAAGCAAGAGGCTATTTTTACTCTATATAGTTCCGCTGATCTATTTGACTACTTTTTTTTTTTAAGATTTTATTTTTCCTTTCTCTCCCCAAAGACCCCCGGTACATAGTTGTGTCTTTTTAGTTGTGGGTCCTTCTAGCTGTGGCATGTGGGATGCCGCCTCAGCATGGCCTGATGAGCGGTGCCATGTCTGCGCTCAGGATCCCAAACTGGCAAAACCCTGGGCCACCAAAGCGGCGCGCGCGAACTCAACCACTCGGTCACGGGGCCGACCCCTCCTAGGTATTCTTTTTGCAGTTATGTAGGATGGATTTTTAGGTAGCATTTGCAATAGGATTCCAATCATATTATTTTCCTCATGTGGATGGCCATGCTTGCTTGCACAATTTATTAAAATGAAAGTTCTTTCCCCACTCATTTGCAGTGTCATCTCTGCTATAAATCGTGTTTCTGTATACCCCTACTTCTTGGAGATGGTTTCTACTGCTGTGCTTAAATCATGCCATTTTGATTAGAATAATTTATTCTATTTTTTTAGCTTTTAAATTAGCTTTATTGACATAGAATTTACAACCCATTTTAAGTGTAGTTCACTGAATTTTGACAAGCGTATACACTTATAGAACCACCATCAAGATATAGGACAGTTCTATCACCCTAAAAGGTTCCTTCGTGGTCCTATACGGTCAATGACCACCCTCCTCACCCTCCCGTCCCACCTCTGGTCCCAGGAAACCACTGATATGCTTTCTGCCAGTACGGTTTGCCGTTTCTAGAGTTTAACATAAGCTGAATCACCCAGTGTATCTTCTCTCGTGTCTGGTCTCTCTCTCAGCGCAATGCTCTGAGACTCATCTGCGTTGTTGCGTATCAGCACCTTGTTCTCTTTTTATGACCGAGTTGTGTTCCATTGTGTGGACGGACCCCAAGTTATTCATCGATTCATGACTTTTGATGAACATTAGAGTTGTTTCAGCTTTTGGCTATAAACAATAAAGCTTCTATGAAAATTCACGTGCAAGTCTTTGTGTGGACATATGCTTTCATTCCTCTTGGGTAAATATCTAAGAGCGGAATGCCTGTTTTGTGTGCTAGGTGTCGATTTAACTTTATAAGACATTGCCCAATTGTTTACCAAAGTGGCTGTCCCCTTTTTGCCCTCCACTAGCAATGTATGAGAATTCAGTTCATCCATATCCTTGGCAACGTTTGGTATTGCCAATCCTTTCAATTTTAACCATTCTGGTGGGTATATGCTGGTATCCCATTGTGGTTTTTTCTTTTGTAAA